GCGATGGCTCCAACCTAAGAGCGATGGCCTCCAACCTAAGAGCGATGGCCTCCAACCTACTAGCGATGGCCTCCAACCTAAGAGCGATGGCCTCCAACCTAAGAGTGATGGCTGCAACCTAAGAGCGATGGCCTCCAACCTAAGGGCGATGGCTCCAACCTAAGAGCGATGGCCTCCAACCTACTAGGGATGGCCTCCAACGTACTAGCGATGGCCTCCAAATACACTCCTTGAAAGAATCATGGTTACGTGGATGGCGTGGCACCGATTTTAGGGACTGTACTCCAGGTATTCTTGTAGAAACAGGGGTCCAGCTGGGCTCAACCAATCCCCTCCGTGTGTCTACCTCACAGCGACCCAGATACGTTACATGACATATCATAAGATACCATATAATCGATATAATATATATACACACACACACTCATTCTTCGAGAAGAAGAAGCAACCACACTGGGAACCTGTCGTATGTGTTGGGTGAGGAGGAAAGCTGTACACAAACATCATGGTGCACTACTTGATGATCTGAACAATCCCGGTTCATCCTGAGTGTCAATGTGGCCACAAAACATGGGCAGTGGTATACACTTCCAACAAGACACATCCGGTGTTTCAAGGCCAAATTCCAACAAGTGTCACTTTGGAAAGGAAGCCAAGATCATCTTCTGTGGTCATACTTCCCCGGAGGGTGGTTAGCTAAGTGGTTAGCTAAGTGGAGCTAAGTCTAACTTGGACTTATAAGTAATTATAAAGTAAGTACTTAGCTTCGAATGGGACAAACTGTCGGACAAACCAACAAGAGACCTCTGTTGAACCCGTTCGGATCCAGACACCCCAACGTCCGGCTCGTGGGTTTTTTGGGTGGTCGCATCGGGAGCTCGTGGGAGCATGGTCCATGAGTCCATGGCCTTCAAATCACCTTCCCAAAAAAAGAACAGTGGCAAGGAGCGTTGGCCTCCACCCCAATAGCAATGGCCTCCAACCTACTTGCGATGGCCTCCACCCCAATAGCAATGGCCTCCAACCTACTTGCGTTAGCCTCCACCCCAGTAGCAATGGCCTCCAACCTACTTGCGATGGCCTCCACCCCAATAGCTAAATGTAGAGTTCAATCACCTGAACCAACGCTTTCACGAAGAGGGTCCCTTGGCACTGCTTGAACTCCTGTTCCCGTGGGAAGACCGTGACATCGGCAGACCCAGCCTCTTCGGCCGCCTGGCAGAGGCGAAAGTGGGGCTCGGCAAAGAAGAAGACCGAGAGCGACATGTGAATCAACTGGTGCAACCTCAATCCGTTGGGCTCGGGCTCGGCTCCGCCGCTCCGCGCCGCTCCGCCCGGAAAAGAGAGGTGAATCGGATGGTGGATCTTTCACTCAGCCCATCGAACATCGGAACATCCAATCGTCCTCCCTTGGTGGTGTGATGGGCCGGTGTGTGGCTCGAATTGTTCTTACCCTAAGAATCCTTGGGCTCTCCATGGTAGGGGTCGGACCCTCCATAGCAGGGGTCTGGGCCCTCAAAACCCTATCTGTTTGAGGGCCCGGATTCTTAGGGTAATCTTGAAAATCAACGTGAAATCACTCAGGCTTTTGGGGCTCGTCCGTTCTGGATGGTCCAAGGATTCTTGGGGTCATCTGGCAACGGGAAAACGAGCACTTCAGATCTTGGTCCAGCGCCGCGCCGTTTGCCCGTTGATATATCAAATCAGAAGTGCGATCTGAACACGAAACTTGGATCAGAAGTGCGATTCTTGTCCAGATTCTAGGTCCCATTGATCAGTTCAACGAAACGAGATTCACCAGGTCTTGACTCGGCACTTGGAGGGACAGAGATGGACAGCGAGACCTGTCTTTGGGAGCGCTCTGCGTCAATTCCAAGACCCTAGGGATCGAGTCGTACCTTGTCAGAAGGTGATGTGTTCGACACTCTTATGTAGGTGCCAGGAGGGTCCAGTCGTACCGAACCTGAGGAGAAGGTACGACTGGATCCCGGGAGAGAAAGGCAGTTACGGAAGTCTCCCTCCCTCCCTCCGTTCACAGCCCGACCCGGGTCCCTCCAAATCAGGACCGACGTCCGACCCCTCCCAAACGATTCGGGTCCGACCCGGGCTATATGGAAAAGAGATCTAGTTGGATAACGACCTTCTTCTTTGGGCGTTCCAACTTGCTTGGAAACCGGGATTTTTCGCACACCGTCCCAGTGCAGTATGAAAAACGTCTCTCCGGATGAGGTTGAGGCCTTATCTGATGAGACCGAGCAGAACCACCCAAACTGAAAAAGAACATGCACAAAAAAAAAAAAACTCCCCTCCCATCATGTCACTCTTTTTGGCGACCGAGTAGCTGGTCCTCACCCAACTTATGTCGACTCACGAATTCATGAAGCGCCTCGTGTCGGGCGGAATGCGGCTCCGGCTCCTCTGGGCGCTGGAAACCCCGGTTTGAGTGGATGTGGTTCGGTTTGAGGATTTAACCAATGTTTCGGAACTCCACGAGGAGGGGAGCCGGGAGGGGAGCCGACATCGGACGAGCGGGGCCGGCCAGCGAGACCCCGTGGTCATGTTTATCATATAGATGGTTCCTTTTCAATCAAAACATCTGAAAAGCACCGGATTCTGCTCTCTGCCATCGTGTTTTTTCCTCTTCAAAGTTCACCAGGGGCGGGTCCTGAAGCCGTGCAGGTTCCCTGCTCAAACCAAGAAGCCGTTGACTCCTCGTCGGGCAGGTGGACCACGTCGGGACGAACGTCGGCAGTCGGATCCGGCGTTCTCCGAGATTTGCTGGTCAACCACCTGGAACCTGAATGACCTCTATTTTGGACCACCAACTACCCCAAATATGGCCTTTTCCTATCAAAACAGGGGTCAATTGGGTTCTAGGCATGCAAGGAGATTGAGATGACTCCTGAGAAGACCCTTTCTTCTGCAGTTGGACCCGCTTTTTGGGATCAAATCAGCATGGCCAGCATGGCACTTCGTCGGACCCTTCCCGACAGGCGGACGAACTCATGCAGCTTGCGAGCGGCGCGAAGCTCGTTTCGCCCGCGCTCGTTTCGCCCGTGCCTGCATCAGGTCGGCAACTGCCCCACACAAAGTGCTGCCCTCTTCTGCACCTGCGATTGCGCCACGCCCTGCCGTCATAGATCACGAGCCCCAAAGAACAGTAGATCCTATGAGGCAAAGGGTTCATCCATGAGAAACGTGCGTAGCTCGCATGTCAAAAACATCTCAAAACCCGGTCATGTCGACGACGGGTTTCTTGTTCTTCGTCACGAACCGGTCGTCGCATCGGTCAAGTACGTGCGGTCGTCGGTTTGTGAAGAATCCGTGCGTCCCCATCTCTCGTCTCTCCGTCGAGACCGCTCATCGTCGACGTCGCTAAGGGCCCGCGGGGATCGTTGGAGCGAAGCGAACGTACGTCGACTCCTGGCTGGGCATCCATGCTGAACGGCAAGTCGCCTGCGACTTGGTCATGCGTCCGGGCCGACATGGACCCGACGTCATGGATGAGGTAGAACGCAGCACCATGCGGATGAAGACGCCAGCCCAAGAAAACCACTTAAAAAAAGAAAGCAAATGGGCTCTCATAAGATCTCAGAGCAATACTAAAAGCGTCTATATATATATAAAATACTGAAACTTCTAAAACCATCTATAGATGCAGAATTGTGTGTTTTCTTTGGGACATTGAGATGGAAACAAATCACCTCCCGGGCCAGCTCAAATATTGAAAGGAAGAACTGTAATGTGCGATGTGCGATGTGAACTAGTTGGTCGAGGCTGACATGACTCTAGGGAATGCCAATTGTATCCAGTTGTTGCTTGTTGTCACCTAGTGATCACCTCACACACGCACTACATCACACTGTAATTACTAACCACCTCAATCCGCCTGCAGAAGACTGCTTGGTACAGGCCACAGTCGTTTGTTGCGACGTGTGAGAAACGGCCAAAATCCCTGAGGTTCGTATCCAGCAGCTACAAATCAGCAGTTTTGAGGTACGTGTCGGCCTGTACCTCTCGGATGAGCGTTTGTGAGTTACGCCATCCCTCATCAACAGCAGCAAACATTTCGACGAAACATTATGAAACCATACGAAACCAACATCTTCAGCACTTCAAAGCCTCATCGGAGAAGCTGCCCCACAAAACTCCGTGAAGCACTGGTTGCCATGGTCCGTCTTCCAATTCGATTTCTTTGTCCCTCTCCCTCCCAGTCCCTCTTCTTCGCCGCACCCCAAATCGGCCTGTATCATGTTGCGCCCCTTTGCGGCTCCTGCAGAAGGCTTGGAGGAAGAATCGTGGTTCCCAACTGGTCCCCGAGGAGCTCCATCCAAGCAAGGGGAAGAGCAGTTGAAGAAAAAGATCGACAAGTCGAGATCCTTTTTGGGCAGATCGGGATGGGCGAAGAAACCGGAACACACCATTCGAAGCGCATCATAGACCTGGGAGATCAACCTGGTGCAAGGGGCGTGACCCACAGCCACTCACGTCGAACATCCATGCACCGTGCGGGGTTCGAAGCGCCTTCGAGCGCTTCAAAAAAGAGCCATAAGTCTTCGAGCGCCTTCGTCCCGCGCAGTTCACCCCAAGAAGTGGACCAATTCCATTGGGGAGCCACGGAACTGCCGCGAAAACATGACAGCGGTCGAGTTCGACATAGCTTGACATCTGGAACATGTGAAGCTTCGATCCCATCGCTCTTAGGTTGGAGGCCATCGCAAGTAGGTTGGAGGCCATAGAAGCGTCGACCACTTTCACCCCTTTTGCATCCTTTCACATCCGCGGCGGGGGTTCAGAGGCTTTTTCGATGTGTTCTGGACATTCCCCAGTATTTTGCAGGTCAGATCGCTGGGTCAAAAGAAACACCTGGAGGGCATCGCTGCGTTCGTTTGACCCCGCTGCGTTCGATTGCTCACGTGCGACCAACCCGGCTTCGCGTGACACGACACGGAGGACACGACCGGCGGTGCGGTCTGTCCAGCCGACGCATGGGCCCACCGACGAGTCGCGAAGACGAGGTCGTGACGCTGCGGTAAGTCATGCACCTGGTCTCGAAAGACATGGAGGTTTTCGGTTTGGGACCACCAGAAATGAGACGAACAAGGGGTAAGAGCGGCAGTAAGAGCGGCACGACAGTCGCATGCTAAAGCATGCTAAAGTGCTGTAGTCGTACCACTTGACATGTAGCAAGCACTGGGAGTTCCTCAGCCTGTCATCCACACCTAAGCCCGTCCGCACCAAAACTCGTCCAGCTGGCCGTTGCCTTTCATCTGAGGACAGCATGGGAGTAATTGCCTGTCGAAAGTCTGCTGACCTACTCCACAAGTCTTCGAAAGTCAGAGCGATGGCCTCCAACCTAGAAGCGATGGCCTCCAATACTGTAATTAATGTCGACATCGTATTAATCAACGGGCCCCCCCCCTAGAAGGTCAACAAGGTCAACAAGGTCTGAGATTGGAAGTTTTGGAGATCACATCCCCCTAATAGTGGGGATGACCTGATGATGAAAGGGAATTAGTATTTGGAAGAATTGGAATGAAAGGGAATTAG